TGGGGGACCTGCACGACCTAGCAGGGATCATCGGCCAATAAACGAGAGGGCTTGTAATGACCTTGCCCCTCCACCTCTTCTGTGTTGCAAAGGACTTGAACTGATGAGAGTCTGAACCTTTCATTGGGAATTGTACTGTTGCCGATACGAAGAGATTGTAATCAGCGATGCATACAACAAAACAAAAACACACAACCAGTGGCACGACAACAAGATGACAATAGAGCAGAATCGAGACATAACAGTGGGCTGGCGAAATGGGAATCTACAGCTTCTGTACCGTTTTTGGTGGACAAAAATCGCAAATATGCATTGGACGGAGGTGTTGAAAGGCGTGACTCCACGTAAGGCCAGGGTTAGGCCAACCAGACTTCCCTAGACTTAGTCAAATGTCCCCACCTACTGCCTCACAAGGAGGAAAAGGAATAGTGATTTTGACACGAACTGTCGCCCAAAATACCCGGCCTTACTCAGGCCTACCATTTCTTCAAACGGCGCAGTTCGGGCATTTTGCACTTTCATTGCTTCACTAGTTACTACAAGCCTCACACTGGTGAAACCTGTAAGCTCTTGTGAAGCTGGAGCAAGTTCGTCAAGGCCATCATGGTAAGACCTGTCAACACGAGAAAGAGGCTGTCTAGATGAGTCGACACGTCAATGGGAAGTAGAAGTGCGTAAAATGCCCCCCTCCATCCGTCGCCGAAACAGCGCCCCTTCAATCTCTGCGAGACTGACACTATGCACTATGATTTTCAACGAAAGTGTTAGTGATGGTGTATCCCAAAAAGAAACTAGTCAACGCTGAGGGTTTCCACACTTTTTGTAAGTGAGGGTCCACTACCCAGGAGGGTCCACTATCCCAGCATTCACTGGGGTGGCACAATGCAGTAGCAACGTTCACACAACGCAGTCAGATGGCCAAGGAATAGACCATCCCTTCGAAACAGTCTTATTTGAAAGGAAAAGAGCTATATTCTGGGTCAGAAGTCACCGATACACACTAGAAAGCGCACCAAGAGATATTCTTGTGGGCGGTAACCAACACCATCATGCATCATGCTAAAATGAGTTTCCACACTCGGTGAAAATTAGTCCACCCCCCACTTGAAACTTTCGGAGCTTCTTCCCTCTCCCAAAGTTCTCCGGGCTCTTCCCTTCTTCCAGGGCTGAGGTGGAAAACTGCTCTTATTGGACAGTTGAATGCTTCGTTTAAACACCCCACCCCATCCACAACCGACAAAACAGATTACCAAACTTCTCCCAAAATTCGCCGTGAGCGGGGAGGGGATGGATACCTTCGGTTGCCACTCAAAGTACACTCCTTATCCCTGAGCCAGAGTAGGCGTGGCATTTGAACATGGCACGGAACTGGTTACTCGTGGAATATTCCAGTCTGGGACAACTGTCATCTTGTTCTGTGTTGGACAGAGACACGACAACAATTGTGTCAAGATGAAAATATCTCACCAGAAGCATAAACACCAGGTTAAGTTGAAAATGCGGCCACGCCTACCCGATCTGAGGGATTTCGAGTATACTTCTTCGGAGCCAACCGACTGGTAGTGTGGGGAAAAATAATAAGTGCTTTCTCCCAATGCGTACGACCATTCTCCCCTCCAGCAACCAAATACGACCCTCGTTAGGGATCCTTGGTCCTGTATGCTACAAAAGCGTCGGTACCTGTGGTATTCAAGAGGATGAGACCATAGATATAATGCTATGACTGCAGAAAAATAGCACAGCAAGTAGGCAGTAGGGAAAGGTAGCTAGCGTGACAGATCCAGATTTCACTGATCATACCCGCAAGCCTTGGCAAGGTCAAGACAAATGTGTGAGCATGAAGATTGGAATTTGAAGCCGCCATCATTACTTATATAACCAATGGTAACATGTGATGCAATCCAACTATCCAGCTGACGTGACTAGACAAATGTCCCATTTAAAAAAGCGGCCACACCAAGGTCGTGTCCACCAACAGATCGGCGTTGATTTCTAAATAGCTGAGTGATGTCATGAATTCGGATTCATGATTGACGATGGAACTCCTACGCGAACACGTGCCAATTAATGACGAATGCATTCCATTGTGAAATAGCCATATGTGGAAGAAGTTTAGCTGCCACGATGGCGTTACGAGAAACTGAGCGCTGTTCTGGAAACAAATGCATTTTTGTGCGAAGAAGCCGATATATTTAAAACCGGGGCACGTCGTCACCAATGGAAAGAGGTGAGGGTCGCATCTGGTCGCTGGAAGGGGGGGTCGCTTTCGCCTCTATGAGAACTGTTTTCTGTGGCAACCGTACTCGGTTTTCCTGTTTCGAAGCGCTATGTACTACTTACGGTAGATGTGGAAGTAAGCTGGGAAAGATAGCAGGTATGGGAAGGGGGTATGTTCTTTTTTGCAATAAGCATTGCACTTAGGAATCGGTTCACTACTGAAGAGCATCTTTTCCTTATACTTATTGAAAAAACCGTGATCTATCGTAACTGAGTAACTGAACTTGGCCAACCGGTAACGACTCTTTGCCCCTCCCCCTAATCAAGGCTAAGGAATCAGGTCACGTTCTAGAGTTGGGAGAATTTCTCTTGATTACGACCCTAGCCCACCACCTCCCCCACCCGAAGCCGACCAAAGATTCAATATCAAACTTTTCCGAAAATTTGCCATACGTCAACCGAGGAGGTGGAGGGGAGGGGGAGGGCGATGGTAGCCACATAGGGTCAGATACCTTCGACGCTATCAAAAATGCTGTTTGTGGGGTCATAAACTGAGGCGAAATGCCTCAAAATTCCCTAAGCAGACCTCATTACATCACAGATCCCTTGACAGAAGGGTACTCATGCAAATTCGGTTCAGGCGAAAAGTACTTCCGGTAGAACTGTTGCAGAAAAAGATCTCTAAATGATCTACAGGTTGAGAAAAGCATGAAGGAAACCTTACTGCCATACACATAAATTATTCCAGAATAGCGAGGACGAAAAAAGGAAAGAGTAGAAAAGACCCCTCGCGAATTATAATTGAAGGGAAGGAAGTACGAATCGCTACTTTGTCAATAGAGACGTACAAATGTACTTGACTAGGACATTCGAAAGGCCATATTACCTCCGATAAACTGCGGAAAAATCATCTGTTTCGAAAAGCAAACAAACGAACGGAGTACACCAGAAATCAAAAGAGGAGCGGAGGCAAGCGGATAGCGGCCGCTCTGGCGAGCGGCAAAGCCACACTGGAATAATCGAGGGTGAGAGAGACGCGACCCCTTCCAGAATGATCGGCGGTGAGAAGGACGCGGCGCGGAGATTGGGATAAGAGAGAGAGGGTCAATTATGGTGGAACACGTGAAAGGAAGTCTCATAGGATGACACCATAAGATTGCTGGGTTAGGGGCAAAAGGCTTATCAGAGTACGTCATATTGGGAGAGATCCCATCAGGGGATTGTAATTGGTCGCCGAGAAGTGGGGTGGTTGGTGGTGGGGGTATCTGAATTTTTTAGATCGCGTAATTTGTTCCGGCTGCTTGAAAACTGGGGAAAGTGGTACGAGGTTGGGAAAAACTAGAAAGATGGTAGGGAGGATGTGGGAGATGGGTCATACCAAAGAAGCAAGTTGGGTGGGGGTGGAGTCGTTCTGGCATCGCCATTTTGCACAGGAAGTTCCACACTGCCTCATCCGGGGCTCGAACCTGGACCTCACGGGTGTGTAGAATGATTTAAATTTTCTTTGAAAGTGGTCTTAAATTGGGGATCGTTCAGTTTGACATCTTCATGAAGTCTTCGTGGATGGGTAAGTGAATCTACGAGAACAATCGCTAATTCAAGTCATAGGTTAAAAGAATTATTCATTCCCCCCACGTCTTTCTCACCCGTGAAAAATTTCTGTATCACAGCTGCTGTTTTTTCATAGCCAGTAAACCTCTCATTATTCAACAGCTTACTCATACTCAAGAGTTGGATAACCTTGGAATTCTCAATCTTCGTTAAACGGCTGTGATTTATAGTAGCTTTATAGGCTTTGCACGTTCTATGTAGTGCACTCGGTGCATCTCGTAGGTATCCACAACGAGGGAGAGGTGGGAGGGGGCTCATTTGCTACTGAGAAAAATGTTTTGTTGACTTTCTCGGTTTTCCCGCTTCTAAGGTGCTATATACCACCACCCCCCCCGCTCGTTCGAAAGAAGTTTTCGAGAAAAACTTCAGAGAAACGGAAAACCAGAGAATTTTGAGAGTACAGGACGACTGAGGGATGGGGAAGGGGAACATACAAGAGAAGGAAATTTAGAAGGGAGGGTAGTATGAACCAAAAATTTTTCAAAATTCTATACAGTGTTGAGGCGGACGTAGTGTAGTGGTGACTGGCACGCTTACCACCAGCACGGTCCAGGGATCTAATCCCAGGTCGCCTCTCGCTTAGGCCAACCAAGCTTTCTACCCTCTGCTAATGGCAAATTGGTACCAGGTTTGTCTGGGAGGATAAGAACACTGCTGTACATCGGATAGCAGCCAAGTCATTTTGTAGGCCACATCGCATTCGATAAGCCACTGCAATTCTTAATGGAAGCAGAGTGCGTGCCGCATCCCAAATCCTAATGGCGAAGACTCTATCGTTAACATTTATAATGTTACATATGTAGTTGCAACCTCATATAGCAATCCCATGTAATTAAAATAGAAATCAGAAGGCTTGAAGGAAAGAATCCAGTAATTATAATAGCAAAATATTCATTGTGATATAATACTATATAAATACAGTACAATATAATTATTCGAAGCCTGCAGTAAGGTAGTTTAACTTTAAAGCTTTAAATCTACGACGTGTCTTCGTCGAATTACGCGCTCCGCCGCAGTTTGTCTGCTCCAGTCAAATGAATTACCGTAGTAAGCCGTACACTTTTGCGGCGTGTAAGACCGATAGTTGAATGTCATCATTTGAAAGAAATCGTCAGCACAGTCAGCTTTGTTGAGGTTCGTCTCTAGGAGTCCAATAAGCAGCTGTTCGGATCATGGCTTCAGTACCGACGTAAGTTCCTATTATTGATGTCTTCAAGACCATATTACTGCTTAATAATTGTTGGAAAGAGTAATTTTTGCATTTCAAGTGCCAAAGACGAGAAGGAGAAGAAAAATGAGGCCTTGGCTACGGCTATCTTGAAGGATAAGGTGAAGCCGAACAGGCTCATCGTTGATCAGAGTGACAAGGATGACAACTCGATTATTGCTCTCAGTCAAGCTAAAATGGACGAACTTGCACTGTTCCGTGGTGACACCGTTGTGCTCAAGGTTAGTTTTTCGAAGGATTTACTATCGGTCTTGACTGTGGTATTATGGAGTTCAGCAAGAATTACAGTCCTATACGCTGGGGATGGTGGGGCGTGTCAGTGAAGCTGCTAGCTGGGTTTGGCGCGCCATCATCCGTTTTCCACCAGTTGTTGAAGCGGTAAGCAACAACAGTTGGTGGTAAATGACTGATACGAACAATATGACACACTCTTATCGCTTGCCCTACCTAACAAATGCTGGAAGCAGGTTTGACGCCGCGCCAAACCCAAACTTCCTGGCACCCCTCTTTACCAACTAGCCGCTATTTTGCCCTGAGCGATGCTAATATTCCGCAAGAACAAATCTGCAGCTTCCCTCCCAGTTTTGCTTGATTTGTGTGCTGTTCTCTCGCCAGCGAAATTTTCAGTCAGGTAAGGCTTCGTGCTGCTGTTGCTGCACTTTGCTGCAAAAAACAAAAAAATGGTTGCTGCAGTAGTTCGCGCTCTCAATACGGCCGCGTGAACAGATGCAACTGATATCCCGTGAAGTAGGGTATCTAAAGAGCTGAATCGTTCCGAAAAGCTCGAGTCGCTGCCTTCGCAGGCACCAGATAAAAAGCTGAACTTTCAACTAAATAAATGAGTTAGGTAAGCCCGCTATTTGCAGGGAAAGAAGAGAAAAGAGACTGTTCGCCATCGTTCTCGCTGATGATAACTGCTCTAATGACAAGATTAGAATGAACCGTGTGGTCCGTCATAATCTTCGCGTACGCCTTGGAGATGTCGTAAGGTGAGCCATTGTTGCGAAATGTGTGATTACGAAATACATGTAGTACTTTCGATGAGGTTATCACAAAATGGCATTTTTTCCAGTGTAACAGCAGCTCCAAACATCGGTTATGGCAGGCGCGTGCATGTTCTTCCAATCGATGACACTGTTGAAGGGCTCACAGGGTAAGTTACGTTGCCTTTCAGTTAAAGGTACATAGCCTTGAACTCTTTTCCATGTTCATAGAGAAACCCTGTTGCGCAAGTAGGTGGATGACAGCGCTCTCAGAACATCGTAAGGTGAGAAAGAACGTATGGCCAGGACAGAGCACATCATTGGTTGGGGATTTTGGAATTTTAGTTAGGTCCGTACGACCCCCCACCCTTTTTCCCCTTTTTTGGGACTGTTACGACCCCCCCCCCACCTCCGGCCTTCTGTCCCTCCTCAACAAGCTGTCGAAGGGGGGGGGGTATGTACTGCGCATAGAACAGGAAAATACGAAAATCTAACCACCACTCCTAAAAGGCCAAAAAGGTAAATACGACCCCCTCCCTCCCAACAGTGACCGCCTCCCCCCTTTTACAACGTCCGTGAAGCGAGAAAAATCAACTATCAAAATAAATTTTTCTCAGCCCAAATACGACCCCCTCTCCTGGCGGCCAAATACGACCCCCTGTTGGGGATCCCCAACAACGATGTGCCCTGCTATAGCTTTGCCACCTTTTGATGTTCTAAAAGGAAGGGTTTCCGGGGTTGGCGAAGCACTTACCGGGGTTGCATGAAAGTTGGTATGTAGGGTTGGAAGGGTTCATGCTTTGCGTCAGCGTTTCGAGCTACCAGGAAATTATAGTTATCGATCTAGCGTTTCGAGCGTCCGCCAGAGTTCTGAGTGTGTACCAGCGCTGTGAGCCTTTTGAGCAACTGAGAAAGCTGAGCTGTTGATTATTGGTCAAAGCTTTGGCGGACGCTCAAAATGCTGCATCGTTACCTTTAGCTTCTTAGTCGCTCAGAGCGATTACAGACACTCAATCTGCAGCAAAGTATGAACGCACTCTTATAGTTGTCATAGAACGAGACATGTAGGAGAAGACGCAGGAAAGAGCAGAAAAATGGAGGGACCCAAGAGCTTGACCTCATGTAGGTCCATAGATCTCATGATGAAACCTTTAAGTTCCTACTTCCAGAAACCTCTTTGAAGTCTTCCTGAAGCCATACTTTGTTGAAGCGTACAGACCTCTTCATAAAGGTGATATTTTCACTGTC